AAGAAAAGAGACCAGCACTGTCAGAAGAATAGAGATGCATCTAAGAATCATAAAGATAAAAAMAAATTCAAAGGAATGCAATCCAGTCTAAATGTTTACACTATTGCCATTAGAATGATTAAAACTGCCCATTTTCTTACAAGAACTTTACAAGTTCTTCTTGTACAAAAGTAGCTCCCAATAATAAATGTGTCATGTTTAAGTGGAAAATGGATAAGTCTTGATGGATCCCATTAAGAATTTCACGTGTTCTTTGAGTATCTACTTTGTAAAAAATATTTTTAGTAGCCAATGTGACTTTAACTCAATCATTTTCTACATGTATGCACTTGATAAGTAGCAAATGTAGTGTCTTTGTATTACATTATAGTTTCATTTGGTATTCCTGTGTAATATTGGGTTACCTGTGTAATATGCAAATGTTGTTGTGTGTGTATTAAACATATATGGCGACCAGAGAGAAACACTCGTAGTAAGGTTTCTATCCAGTTTAATCCGTATTAATCCGTAGAGATAGTACAGCAAACTCAAAAATATTAAATTAAATTCGGAGAAATTAATCTTCTTGGTTCAAATCGTATTTATTGATTTATTTGCTTTTAATTTTGCAGATTAGATTTGGTTCAACTGGAGGTGAAAAGTGGGAATATTGTTCCCATCTTCCTATCTCAAGAGGCCAACAAGGCCATCCAAGTTCTGATTAATGCAAGGAAGATTTGTGGCATACAAAACAGCAATGAATATGTATTTGCCAACACAGCAARTTCTTTTATTAGAGGCAGAGCGTGACTGAAGAATATTGCCACTATGTCCCAAGTGGAAAACCTGTCAGAAAATGACTTAGGCTGGCTTGTGTCCCACACTGAGTACTACAGTCCACATGAGTCTACTTTCTAAAGTTAGCAAGCTCCTCCTTGYAGTGGACTACAGGAGGGTAAAAAATCTGGTGGGAAAGTCATTAAAAGATATCAATATTGATTGTAAATCTAGATCTTCTTTCCTTGACAAAATGATTGATCTTTTAATAAACAATTTGTTGTTTTCTTTGTGATCAAATTTGGATGCAGTCCATCTTTAAATATCAAGCATTTGTATGCTCAACTTTTATATTTAATACAACAAACTTACTGTCCACAAATTTGTAGCAARTAAACATCTTCATCTCAAATGAAATTTACTCAAGATATATCTGAGAGTTTCACCAAATTCAGAAAATAATTAGCTTTTAATATCATTGCCTTAAGCAGAACAAAAACAATATGGTTTAACAATGAAAGTCAGTTGCATGAAAATCAGACATTTTCTTGTCCTGTGGAAGTGTAGTGAGCAAAGCATTTTCATGAATATACTTTGATGACAATGGAAACATACTTTTTGCAAATACAACTTTACAACAATAATAATCATTACACATAATCAATCAAAACATAATAAACAATAAATCATATAGTGAATAGTTTTATCTATAAGATTTTAAATGTAACCTGTGGAAATTTATCAAATGTAAGTTCAGTATTTTGAATCTTTTATAGAATTAATTATCATTGGTTCATTCAATTTTAATAAAAAATAAATAAAATAAAATATCAAAAAAGAATATCAATTCAATTATACATGTATTGATTGGATACTATTAGTATTCAAGAATACACCTCTCCACCTTGCTTATTTTTTACCAATTATGAAATATTTGCTTCTACATTTTAAATATATTTTATCATGTTACTTGATTTCAGCACTATGCATGTCTACGCATTTAATCGGTTTTTAGAGGAAGCTGAAAAAAGAGCGACAAGTTGAAAACATCCCCCCAAAAGAGCTTATATTCAAAACCTCGAGCCAAATATTTTCCCGTACGGCCCTCCCACTCACTCATTATTAAGTACATATTATTCATCTAGCTTTATCCAAAAAAGGTTAGAATTACAATATTTAAAATACAGCCTTCTTCACGGTGCTCTGAGTTAGTTCATTAAAAATCAAAAACTGGTGAGAAGCCAATGACTGACACCTGTCAATCATGGCATCTGCAAGTGAGAAAGGTTTTGATCATTGCAAACTAACCGCTGCTTGCAATAAGGAACAGTGAAAGAGACCATGGAGAATTGAATGCTTGATTGTTTACATATAGCTTCTCTCTCTTCCCTTTCAACTATTTAGTCATTCAGTTCATGATAACAGCTGTTTATGTCTAAATGTTAACTGTATTTTAAATAGTTGATACAAATTGTTAGATGTCTTTTATTCTATGTAAAGACAAACAATCCCTAGCGAATATAAAAAAAGCAAAACTTCCTGGTAAGAATGATCAATTTTATAGTTTCACAGCTAAACAGCAGAGTGACAGCAAACGTAAAACAGCCAAAAAATAATTCATGTACTCACCAACACCGCACACATACAGCCCTGTTTAGTAGCTCACAACTTTGTTTAATCTCTTTTGCAGTTATCCAGGATGATGTTTAGCGGGAAATCCATTCAAAACTTGAGGCTTTCTCCATTGAATGTTGTCAAAATTTCAAAAATGGCCGACGTCCGGAAGAATCTCAGTTTCTGCAAAATAAAAACAAACACAACATCAAAATGTATTACTTATCATTAAGACAGATACATACAAGATGTTCAATACAAAAATCATTCGATTGTTTGTTGACAACAATGCAAAAATYGTTGTTTATTGAAAGGTGTGAAGTTGAAGAAACCACGTGTAAGACAAACCAAAACTGCAAAGTCGAAAAATACGGATTTTTTGCTAAGAACACAGTCGGAAAACGCTAAAAAATACTCTTACAAATAATCATTTGATATTTGAGATTATTTTAAGTATTACCTACCGTGCTAAAGGCTGAAACGTTCAACAAAATACCAAGCAGAACATCCGCCATTTTGATTTTGCCGCGTGCACCAATTCGCAAGGGATCATGGGGTCACGTGTAGGACKTTGGTCACGTGCCATATAAAATGAATAAAAACTGGGAAATAGGAATGAAAAGATGGATRAATACATAAATAACTGAATACTAAAATAGAAAAAAGTATCAGATGAGCATTTTGATGCATAAATTGAATTTTCTTTCAATCTATGATSTAAGATTCAATCCGTTTTTTTGGCATCAAGCTTACATATCTGATATGCATTCGAGTAACTTTCTGAAAGTCCGTTTCCCCTTGTATTGAAAAGCGTGACTTGGGGCGGGCAGGGGCCARGCATCTTAGATACTTTACATTATAGTGTTGAAGAGGCAGAAAGACAAAAAACGCAAACTTTGAACTTCGCTGACTAGACTGCCCCATTTCAAGGGCTTAAAATCCCTTAGACCATAACTCAGAGACATTACGTCATACTATTAATAGCMTGAAACTCATTATTCAAAATTTGAACTTTGCTATATGACGTGGACTTTACCGACGCGTACGTTTTACTTTACGTCACAAGTTTACGTAAAACTTTGACCAAATTTTGTATTGTTACTTGTCAGYTAAGAGATTTCATGCCGCATATTTGTTTATGCCAGTTCGTGTCTCCAGAGCGCGTCTACACGCTTTCTGAGCAAATTTTAACCGTCCAAACATTTCACAATTGAAGTGCATGGATGTTGTGCTCACGAATGYGGGTATGCCTAATGCAACATCTTTTGGCATGCCTTTCAAACGCAAAGCAGCCTGAAGCAGCATCCACAGTTTACCTTGATATCTTTCAAAGGGATTTCCTTTTATTTTGAGTCAATCCCAGACACTTGCACAAGATGACATTGCCAGGAAATGCAGTAATTACTTCAGTATAATCCTCTAATTTGCATTACAAAGTTTTAAAAGGTTTTCCGGGGAAGTCGTTGAAATTATGGACCATTTAGACCGAAGCTGCTTACATTTTTAATGGGAGGCAATCTACATATCCCGATAAGACATGCACTCCATAAACCACACATAAAGAATACTTGCCCGACACGTACGCATTACCAACACCAGCACTAGAGTACAACCGCATTGCGTGAGAGAYACGCATCCTGAGTTTACTAATTGATCMACTGAGTTCGCACAGTCTACACCTCCATCAGTTTGCTACACTAAATCGTATTATGAAACATTGATCGATATTTTAGTTTTTCAAAGCCACTTGTATGCATATGTGCTTAGATCTCCAGATCATCTTCGAAATGACGGCGTATATACATATATATAACAATAGGGTCCAGTAATGCTCAAAGCGAACAATTAGCGAAAGCGCAATTAATTGGTGGCACTTATCTTAATCTTAATTATATAAGTGCATTAGGATGCCGTCCTAACCCTGACCTTATGCACAGAAATATGTAYCTAAGTTTGCACGATAACTTAAACTACGTTCAGAACAACCGTGGACAACCTGGACGCCATCTTGAAAGCTCGGCGAACAACTTAAAATCAAAAGAACATTGCAATTTAATGAGTGATTATAGACAACTCTCAAAATTTTGACGTCAAACTTTAACATAACATTCAGTCATGTTGCGAACGTGTGATATTGGGCTGGGTTATGAGTAGGAATTCGTTGAGTATTCATAGCTTGTTAGGTMATCGTTAGTAACTATCGTTAGGTCAAACACTATCTGAGTCAAGTCATGACATCACATTCTTAAAATAGTACTTGTACTAGTAACAGTTCGAATGTACTTTGCGGAATGTACGATATTTGCTTAACCCATTCAATGTTAAGCCATGCAAAGCCTTTGATCTGCGAGATATTTGGCCAAGTCAGGGAATTTTGTTTACTCGCAAAATACAATTAAACAAGTACTTTGTTATTGACCCAAGTGTGGTAATCTGTTGAGTTTTMTGAAGGTAAACTGTCGGTAAGTTTTACCTCAAATGGACCTGGACAATGAACAGGAACCTTGGATCAGTTCGCATGCTATTGGACTTGTCCAAAGGATTAGTTCAAGCTCAGTGATTCTGTCGTCAACAACTTCCAGGCTATAYAAAGTGAGGGGTTTTCCAGGCACAGTTGGTACGGACAACAGCGCGCAACACACAGAACAGTATTTTTGTCGAAACRGAGCAAGAGACACAGAATGGCATTGGATTTGATTCCATTTCGAAACCTCTTCATCTACCTTCTTCTTCTGGTGATGTTCCAGCTTGGATGGGTCGTCAAAGGAATACCATTCATCAGCAAGATCTTGGTCAAAGTTTTTAATAAGATCTCTGGAATCTGTCTTCCCTTGGAGGCTTATTGGGACTCGCTGTTCGGCTGGGAGATGCTGGACACAGTTTGGCGCAACATCCAGAGATTGACTTGAACAAGAAGATTGCATTGAATGAAAAAGCTCCCGATGCACCTGTTTTGTGTCTGGATGAACATAGCAGCATTGYAGGGGAAGAAAAGTTGACAAGCCTCCTGGAACACGCATCAAGAGATCGGCCTTTGGTTCTGAACTTCGGAAGCTATACCTGCCCTGTCTTCATTGCWAAACTGAAGGAGTTTTTCTTGATGGAAAAGGAGTTTAAAGATGTTGCCGATTTTGCGATTGTCTACATCGAGGAAGCGCATCCCTCTGATGGGTGGGCATTCAAGGTAAGTTTGTCAGTTTAATAGCTACTCAAAGCTATCTCATTCCATCAACCATTTTCATCCATTTCTGTGTCTCGTGCTTAATGGCCCAACATCAGTGAACGAGCAATCAACCGAGCACGAAAACGACTGCATATCATGTTGCGTAGTATTGTTTCAGCGCGTTTTTTTACATGACTGTACCGATATGGTCACGGTACGACAACTCACCCAAACGTTGGAAAAAGAACTCAAATTTGACTTTGCTGTTGTGCTGTTGCCATTAGATTTTCGTGGGCCTGCAAAGTCGCGCTCATATTTGCAAGTCTTTCGATTGAACACTTGCAATTGATCGCAAGTGTTTAAATTTACACTGATCTGCAGTCTTGTTTTAACAGGGATTTAACATAAAATTACCAAACAAATCAGTGCTGCCCAAACTTTCAGTCGTGTAAAACGTCCGTCAGTTCATTGAGCCTTGAAAAGCCACGACTTTCAAAACGTTTCAAAGGCTTGGAAACTCGACAAAACATTATCTCAAACAAAATACTTAACAAAATTGAACATTTGGTAGTTTAGTTTTTCACGTGGAGAAAGATATAGATTCCGTGCAAGAACCAACTTATTGACTAGCCTCTTTATGCACACACAACACAACTCTATTATGTCCATTAATAGAAAAGAACAATAACCAACAAGAAATCACTATAAACTACAAGAAAATCGCACAATAGAGGAATAAAATATGCATTTTACGAGCGAATTCATAATCACCTTGTARGAAAAACAATTTGAACGAAARCATTTCTAAGTTAGGATAGATGTTTCGTTTTGCATTTTCATCGCCAAACGGACTTCAATTTTGGGACCACATCTTTGTACAGCGCTTTGTGTACTTYGTGTTTACCCTTGGGATCTTGTGTGGGTTGRCAKCCATTTGTATGGAAAAAGTTAGCTATAGTGTGGATTATTATTTGCCAACAACAATTTATTGTTATACCGGATGCGMTTTTTACCATTTTCATAACWCAAGAAGATCGCGAGGCGTGCTCCTTTGTTTTTGGAAGAGAATCTTTGGTGACTAATCTAGGATGAGAATACCTGGTACCAAATGTTCGCAATAGATCGTTTYTGATTATTCTGGTYCAGTGCGCAGAATAGATAGCATCATTTTATGCATGAATGTGCACGAAAAAGAGAAAACGAGACAATTTCGGAGATCAACAGAATGGTAAAYTCGTAGCAAAGYACACCTAGTCTTTTTAAAAGCTTSATTAGCTAATCATGGGTTAAATCTTAAAACACCTATGGAGTCAACCCTGGATTAACACTAGTAGGGCTTTGAACAACCCGTCCATGAACAATGTTACAATTAATATTCGAGTGTATGATTTTCATTCCAAAAAAGCTTTAATAAACTTGCACAGCAACAACTATGTGCGTTTTAACTTGGAAATAATGATTTTCTTTCAGAGTGACTTAAAGATCAAAGCTCATAAATCTCTTCAGGATAGATGTTCAGCTGCAAAGCGGCTTCAAGAAGACTTSAAGCTTCSCTGTCCARTCCTAGTCGATAGTATGATGGAKACTGCGAAYATGGCTTATGGCGCAACACCAATACGTCTTCACGTGGTYACGAATGGAATCCTCGAGTACGAAGGCGGCGTTGGGCCTTTTATGTATAACATGAATGATCTCCGTGATTGGTTGTCAAGGTACAAGACACTTAAGAATTGAGAACYCGGATGCAGCTGATTGATGGTGAAGACAAAGTCCCCAGATGAACTTTATGGACTGATGGAAAAGCGTCTAACAGGAACTTAACTATGAAGTCGTTAACACAACATGWCAGSCATGGACTTCAGGCGTGGAGTCAGATGCGTTGTATCATGAACGAGCTTTCTCACACAYTTTTTGCTGACTGTTAGCGTGAATTCCAAGTTATCCAAACGGGMRTAAGTCACAGAATCACAGTGAAGCAACAACATTTTAGTTTTCGAATAAACCATTATCATTTTATGGATTGTTCAGCTCCATTCTGCTGAAAAGTTCCAAGCCGTTCATCTTTTGAACTTTCTGATTCAGGGTGCTTTCTATTTGTAAGACCTAACCTGCCCGAACTGTCCTGATCTGAAAGTAAACTGAGGCCTTTTGTCGAGAGTTGTACGCAATTTTTCCTATAGTATCGTCCAATAGAATCACTGGATATTTTTTTAGGAATGGCTGGCAGGTCCAAATAATTGTGGAAATCTCTTTGAGTCAGGATAGTCAGTTTTGACAAATCGAAAGCTCCATACAGGCAAAGCTGGCAACGCTTAAACAAAATATAAACACATATCACACCACTTATTAGATACCATCAGAGTCTTTTTCAAGCAAATATGTTATCAAGCTTACAAAGGAACCAATCATAACATTACGYATTGCATTGTGGCACAGATTCGGTACAAATCAGTATATTTTGTTCATCTGGCCAGATATGATATTTCTTGTAACGAAGCTAGACCACAATGCACCATGATTTGTATTTCATAAAACGCCGTACGCAGAAAGTCGTTTACTGACGGATTGAAATAATTCAAAATATCATACTTATTCCACGTTAATCAATAATTTAAGTTTCTATCATGTATACATAGCACATACATTTTTTATATGTTTATTATACTATACATATTTTATTTAATGATTAATCATTATTTATTATTCATTTTTTTATTATTTATACTTCATATATCTTTATTTATCGCATTTATTGTTGTTAGGGTATTCATGAGAATAAAACGCAAATTGTACTGAGATTTGTCTACAATTTACGCAGACAACAGCAATTGAGAAATATTCCTTTACAAAAGCCTGTTTACACTAGCAAGTTTGACATACGGGTGCAATTCTTGTAGCGTCTTTGTCGCAGGTGTATATGTTTGCTGCGATAGACCCACGCTATCGCCGCCGTGAAATCGTTATGAATTTGCACGCGCGATTTGGGTTTGCCGAAAAATTTGCAAATGTAAACTAGGCTTATCTTCTTTGAGTGAACGGCTACTCACAACAAAAACTAGAGAAAGCACGCGTTGCGTCGTAAGACATGACGATTGACGTAAAAAATTCAATATTTCATACAAAGTTACAAACGATGATCCAAACTTATGTCTAAAACAAAACATTTCAAATGAACGATCCACTTAACAGTTTAAAATTTTTCATGATTTTCCAAACAAAACGATATCCCAACACCACAAGTGTCATTTTCTGACGTCTTACTACAAGAACGAAGACATTCAATGGATTTTTAGGTTATTTTAATCAAAAACATAAAAACAATATGGTTAACTTGACAATAATTATGTTTTTAATGCCGTTAATATGTTAAATTTGTTAGTGGTATCCARCAGATAAACATTTCATCTCCTCATTTTATCAAAATATATGTCCATCTCTGGCGGACTCTTTGCCTTTACAACATACAGCTATTTCAAAAAACGTCGGGGARAACGGCGAACGGCGAACGTCGAAATGGGATTGCACGACCGAAAGGGACTATGGTTACACTGCTTTGATAAACAAAATTTCACTTATTGGATTCACCTTACATAGAAATGGAGACTAAATCGAGCCAGTGTTTACCACAGACAATCTTACAGTACAAATGAGTTGTTGATTTCCTTTCAACTAGCAAAACCCATGACTACTTTCGGTCGTGCAATTGCCGTTCGAACATTGACATTCGCCATTTTATCGGACAACCTTTTTTGAAACAGCTATATCTTTTTCAAAAGGTTGCCGGGGAGAGCGAATTGACAGTTAGATCGACCTCTGAATCTTTTACCGTTTACGCAGTGCATTGTAGGATATGTTTGGGACAAAATATGACGGATTTCTCTTGTTTTCTACAGAAACTGATCCCACAATGMATTGCAAATCATGTAGGTGCCGTTAAAGGGCTACTTGGACGAAAATTGCGAAACATTAATTAGAAAAGACTTGGAAATCAAATAGACCTATCCATATGGGTCTAATAATCATGAAGCAACAGATTTCAAGAAGACTGTGATACAAATCCTTGATGTAAATTTGGGCAAAAATGTTGGAGTAAATGACGTCATTTACTCCATCSTTTTGTTCTTCCATCTTTTGAATTAAAATTTCTCTGATGCAGGATAATTCCAAAACAAATATYTTCCCGCGATTGTTTTTAAAAGATACAAATGAGTCATATATTTGTATTRYTTGAAGTTTTGAAGTAAGGGCATTATCATGCAAATAGCACTTTAAAGCTTCAAATGTCAATTTTTGAACGGCCACTGCAAGACAGTCAGTAACTAAAAGGAAATAACATATAGYATCTCTTCAAAAAGAGCCTAGTTACTTTAAATTAAATGAAGATTTTAGGAATTTTTTATTCAAGTTGGAATATCTCTTTTGGTCGTGTAAACTATGTTCAACAACAGGAAATGTTAGCGACGCCATTAAAAAAACTCCCATCATGCTTTGTTGCACAAAATGGCGTCGCCACACATCACCGCGATCACCGCCGTTCTCTCTGGTGTCTTTTTTGAGATAGCTATATATATCTTGTTCCTTTGACATTATCTCTGATTGTATTCAGTATCTTGTGCTTAAATGTCCTTTATAAATGTTTATTATTATTCTCCAATAACGACGTTTTACTATGTTTACTGTTAAAACTGGCCATTTTGAAAAGTGTTAAGTGTTAAATGGGTAAAAAAATAATAGCAATGTTAATTGTTAAATGTGTAAAAACTAAGAGTAATGTTTTATAGCTAAAAAGAGTGTTAAGTGCTAACATGGTATCTCTATTCGGACCCTAAAAACCCTATACCATGGTCGAAATGCATGATGGATCATGATCAGCATTTTTTCTATCCTGTTTTCCGTCATGCAACTCGGGAAATCACCCCACCTGTAAATCAAAAGTAATTATTCATGCYTAGTCACCAGGCTTTTTACCATCCCACAGGATACTGATTGGCTTTCTGCTGTTCATCTAACCATTCCATTAAGGGTTTAAAGTATGATTTTATGGGACCAGCGTCGATCTTTCTCTGGCCGGTGAGTTTTTCCAAAGCAACTGGCCATGGCTTGCTTTTGCCAAGTTCAAGCATCGCCCTGTTGACGTTATAAAACGRTATACTGCTATTTGAAAAAGGTTTGTAAGACAGTATTTCTGAATACTTCTTAGTACTATGAAGAGTAGGCTCAGTCTCCATGGGGTTCGCTATTGTCAGTCTCGGCCAATCAGCGAGTGGCCCCCGATATTTTCAGGGGCATRTCATTAATAAATTAGCAGGCAGCCGTCGTCACATGAAGAGCGAAATGAATCATATTGATAGTTCTACAACACGTGACTTGTGAAAAGACATTAAAACGCATCATTTCCTCGAGAACACTCTTTCTTGGAAATATTCGCTTCTTTGATGTTCAAGAAAGGAATAGCATCAAATACTACTCTAATCAAGTGTTCATATGATCATTCATGCTGTCTATAATTACCTTAGTTTGGCTCCAGCTTTTTTCGAGCCGTATACTGAGCATTTATGTAGCTCTCCCTTGTGACCTGAGGCGCGACACATGGCTTCGTGGAATTGAAACTGCAAAACSCCSCCAATAAAGTACCTGAGAAGAACAACTTAAATTACTGCAACAGTACATGTGAGGTCGGGTTTTTTTGCTTGTCAATCAAACCTTCTAACTGATCCCAAGACGCCTCCCTTAAAACCGAAAGAGCTATGAACTTTAATACAGTTTAATTCTTACAGTTTTGAGGGAGACGTCTCGAATTCAGCGCCGTTGCAGTTCGGAGCTATGGATGTTTGTTAAACTAGAAAATGAGCATCTTAGACAACAAATTTRCCTTGGTTTTCAATGCATTAGTAAAGAAGGAAGTTCTCTTTTTYCATGCATCTTATTGTCAAACTCGTTTCAAGGTTCTTTTCTCTTCATTTCGAGGCAAGTAGAAAAGGGCCCGGAGCTTGAAAGTAAGATGTACCCATCCTTCCAAAATCCCATCTATCTATTCTCCCATCCATCTATTCTATCACTCTCACCTTGCATATGGTGTACTATTACAAATRTGAGAGTTAGCTCCAGGATCAAAGTCTTTCTCTGTTCTTTCCACAGGTGGAACAACCCCTTGATAYTCTCTCTTCAACCTCCACCATTCTTCATTGTAGTTTTCTCTCGTGATGTTTCCACTGAACGCACCCCAGCGCCAGAAATCGATGGTCAAGGCAAATGGAAGAAGAGCGATGTTCTTCAAGGCTTGCATCATCAATATGTTGATTTCTGTCRGTAATGAAGTATGACGTCAGAATAATTTTTGCGAGCATTTGAAATAGACCTATAGGATTGCCCTGTTTTACTATGACGTCACAGCATGTTCACATGGGGGCAAAGTCGCTCAAAATTACATAACTTTGTATTTCTTATTGGAACAACTTAACAATTTCGTGTTTGATAATATAATGATTTCCTTGTATAATATAGTGCCTGCTGTCATTCCTTTTTTATTTGTTTACTAAACACAGTTTTATGGTGGTTTTTTAGTCTTACATCCCTATTACCTGACGACCATAATGCAATGTTAATGATGTGACGTCATAGTGCGATAGGGCAATTTGTACTGAAATTGATTTACAAAACATATCATAGCTTGAGATGAGAAAGGTACAACTTGATATTTTTTAAACTATAATATTAGAATATAAAATAATATTTTTTAGAATTGATTCAAATGTTTGATTTTGTGTAAAATTTGCGCGGTTTTCTTTTTCATAATTTCACTTTTCCTTTCGTTTCGCCCTTCTTATCTCTTCTTTTCCTTCTCTTTCCATTTCATAATTACTTTTCGCTGTGAAAAGTGTCTTTGTGCGTGCGTTGAAAAATGAATTTGAGCTTTTCAGACATGCACTTGATCGCCGTGAGAGGATTCTATTACGCAAAATGGATTAAAACTATGGTAAATCACCAAGGCATATCTTCAAGGGTGCGACAACATAGACCTTCAAAAAAAAAGAAAAGCAAAAGGAAAAAAAAACGCTAATAGCACACAGCCAAAACACAAGGCGAAGAGCAATCTTTATCTTTGCAACATCAGTGCAGACAGAGGCGTGATTGAAAATGAAAGATGAAAAAAAAAGAAAAAGAAAAAATAAACGCTCATAGCAAACAGCCAAAACGCAAGGAAGTGGCAATCTTTATCTTTGCAACATCATGCAGACAGAGGCGTGATTGAAAATGAAAGATGAAAAAAAGAAAGAGAAAAAAAAAACCCGCTAATATCACAACGCCAAAACACAAGGTGAAAAGCAATCTTTATCTTTGCAACATCATGCAGAGAGGCGTGATTAAAAATGAAAAAAAAAAAACCCGCTAATATCACAACGCCAAAACACAAGGTGAAAAGCAATCTTTATCTTTGCAACATCATGCAGAGAGGCGTGATTAAAAATGAAAGATAATTGAGATATTTCCTATTGAACTGCATGAATAAAAATTGTACGGAAATAGAGAGTACGAAATGACTCAATTTGTATGTCAACCTCTGTCTTAACTAATTATTTTCAAAACTTAACGACCACTAATTGACTCCATGCGCTCTTTTTCGCACGAATTTGCCTATACGGACGTCAGAAACGTGTAATGACTCATTTAGCAATGGTGTTTAATATTCTAGCAAAAAAATTGGCGTAGGACATAAAGACTCGACGCTGAGAGCTAGTATCTTTGAATCTACTTTGGGATTTTAGTGTCTGGAGGTCCAAGAGCGGAAACGTTGAATTTAACCTTCCTCCAGTGCTACTATTTATCAAAACAGACGATATAACATCGTGTATTTTGAGTTCTTTTCTATCTTGAAGTGGAAGGATGCGGTTATATTGATCAAGAACTCTACTGAAAGAAACAGCAAGTTGTTTGAGGTAAAACATCTATGTATATAAAATTCATTTTTCTTTTTAGTTTGTGTGTTTTGAGTTAGTAATAAGTTGTTTTTATTTTGATCGGTTTCGTACTCAGTTTAATTAAGATCGGTTTATCGCGTGGTATTGTCGTAACGATTATTTGTTTATAACATGCATGAAATTTCTGTAAAATCCGAATTAAACGACACAACGTTTGCTTACAACCAGGCGCATGCAACCTGCGTAAGTCATCCTTACAACATGGCTACAACTGTCGTAGGGATTTTAAACAATTGCTTAATAGCCTCACGACAGTTGCAGCCATGTCGTAAGTAACTTGTTGTAACTTATGCATGTTGCATGCGATAGTTCTAGGCAAACGTTGTGCCGTCTAAATCGGCCTTAAGGATGTCTTACGCGCAGGTTGCATGCGATAGTTGTAGGCAAAAAAGCTGTGTCGTCTAATTCGGCCTCAATAYCGATAGCGTATATCATTATATCAGGACGCATCATGGGTAAAAAAGTCATGAGATTTTCGCTCTTTTCTTKCTCATGAAGTAAGATTACGACAATTAAACTATTTAATTATGCTTGGGATCCGTTCAAACATATTCCGCAGTTTCACGCCAAAATGAATTGTTAGATATACTACATATATAATCAATATGAATTCCTTAAAATGTATATAATCAATTGCACATATAAAGTTAAATTATTGCTGTCGTTTTTGCTATGAAAGAAAGGATAATTCAACCKCGCATATTCAACTTTTAAATTCCTTGGTGTTCGTTCCAAGCCGACTGTTCTTGTACGAGTTTTTTCCTGGGAAAGGTACTTTGAGCTACATTGTTGGCAATCTCACAAGCTAATGTGGCGCCTTTCCTTCTTTATGAAAAAAACTTTGTTTCCAAAAAAGTCTTATATAACGTATTTTTTTTTTGCTTATATTGTTTTTAGTTAGAAAATGTTTATTTTCTTGGCAAAGATTCTTAGAAAGTATTCCTTGCCTGTAGAGTTCTTTTTTCCTGAATTTCTCGCTGGCAACCAGTTGTGACTTACAGCTGGCTGGGACATAAGAACAGAAATATTTCTCCCAGGAACCCGTCGGCTCCTCCTGATTACTGAAAGAAGGCTAGACTCAGACTGCTTACTTTAGTCACCATACCAAACAAGATTAAAAGAATTATGAGTAAGCTATAATCAAAGTAAATTCAGCACTTGACTGAATCACTTAAGGGGCAAAGGAAAACGGAAACGGATAATCCACCAAGCAAGTTAGTACTATTATCTGCCAGTCTCAGACGTTTTCTCGCGTAATTTTCTATGCATACATTTTTTCCCTATTTTCATTCGATGCATATTTTCATGAAGAAACGAGAAGCTAAGCATATAGTTTTATTTCCACATTTTAATGATTTTTGACGTTTTAGGTGCGATAATTACTTAAAAAATCTATGTCATTTTTATTTTTGTCAAATGCCATACTTATAACTGATGAAAGTTGACTTATTATGTTTTAAGTGTAGAGAAACAGCTTTTCTATCTTTTCTCCCTTTTCTTTTTTCTTTCTTTTGCTTTTTCCTTCCTGCTTTCTTATCTTTTTTTCTGTTTGCCAAATGTTTCAGTTTCAAGCTCTTATTTTGTTTGTTTGTTTTTGTTTTTTTTTTCTTTTGCAATAAACTGAGCGTCCAATGAAAAGYCTTGGAATAACCCCAAACAAACAACTTATCACTTTGACTTTGTACTCGATTCTCATTACAAAACTTTAAAAAAGCTGACGATTCAATCAAAAAATCAATTACCAAGTAACAGTTAGAGTGAAGAAAAAAGCCAGCTCTTTTTCATTACAAACCCCTTCCAAAATGTCCGCGATATCGTCGAAATGATCAAATGTACTTCCAAAATGCTTTGACAGTGAAGTACGTGTTTAATTATTCAAAGCATACGCACAAAGTTCAAGTATAAGAGTAAGTTTAAGTTTAAGCCGCGTGACGTCAAGTAGGGGGAAGCATTTATGACAATCATTTTTGACCAACGTAAGCTATAAGTGCCATTCGTTTTACATATTATKACTTAAACCACTTCAAAAAAACACTACAAAATTTGTTTATGATTGAYTTTCAACCCAGTTTGTCTGATGTGTAAATGCAATTATTGATAATTTGTAAACTCCGTGGAATTGATTGGACAAGAAACGTCAGAAGCACCACTAACCCAGGGTCGTTAATACTTGTTACATGGGATGTGTGATGAGCAGCCTGGTGTGCCAATTAACGCGCCATGGGCAACAGACTAGACATCCTTTACAAGCTTTGGATTATTGAAAATAAAAATAAAGTCATTTAAAATTGAATGGGCTATAGCCCACCAAAAACGCTAAGAATGCCTCTTTTTTGACAAAAATACATGGTTATAACCCACCAAAAACGCTTAAAGTGCCTCATTTTTTGACCAAAATGCAAGGGTTATAGCCAACCAACCGGCTAGAAATGATAATATCATGATAATAATATAAAGCAAAAACGTACTCTTTATAATCCCTTAATGCTGTATGAATGGAGAATTGCAAGTAAAAGCGACGGATGCAAATGGATAGTGAATAAATATTTGAGTCACCTCATTTTCTATGTATATGAAAAATCCAAAACACGACCGCAGTGAATGCTGGTTGACGACGTCCCTTATAGAATCAGAGATCAAAAACAGGGGCTAAACGTCATCGTTTTCAAAAGGAATCGTTTTCGCTGTCCACACTGATTAGGATGCCGTAGCGTTTTCAAAACGCTTCACTTTCAACAGCGTTTTCAAAAGGATCCGTTTTCGATATTTGAGTTCAGCGTTTTTCTATGCATGAAAAAACTTATAGAATCAGAGATCAAAAACAGGGGCTAAACGTCATCGTTTTCAAAAGGAATCGTTTTCGCTGTCCACACTGATTAGGATGCCGTAGCGTTTTCAAAACGCTTCACTTTCAACAGCGTTTTCAAAAGGATCCGTTTTCGATAAAAACGCTCAGCGTTTTCGAGCGTATTAGTGTGGACAGAAGGGCAAAACGCATACTTATCGATTCGTTTTCAAACGAAAACGCTTTAGTGTGGACGGGGCCTTTAAAATCAGTTGAATTACGATTACAAGCACCTTGTCAAGAGAGTTCAAACAATAAAACCATGAATTTTAGTAATCAAATAGTGATAACTTAGTAATGTTTTCTATTTTCTAATCTACACTATATTGCACTGTTTAAGACTATATTTGATTAGCACTTTTTCGCGCCATTAAGATTAGTACTCTAGAATAATATGAATAGTAACTTAGTAWATAAATTCTTAGCATCCTTTGTAACCTATTGACGTGAGAGCGAGTGCAAGTTTCTAATTTTCTTTC